CACCTGAGCCCAGCAGGTCAAGGCTGCGGTGGCTGGGAGCATGCCACTGCACTCCAGCCTGGGTGACAGAGTGAGACTCCAACTCAAAAAAGAAACTAGCCCAAGGTCACACAGCTTAGTAGTAGAGCCAGAATTCAAACCCTGACTTTAGAGTCCATGTTCTTAACCTCTACACTATAGCACCTCTTGGCAAGGGTGCCCTCTGCCATGGCCCTCCCAGCCCGTTGGCACCTGGAACTACTGCTCTCCAGGTGCCTCTCCCGGCTGAGTCAAGACTCCCCAGCTTACCTGTAGGGCCAGGTCCACAGCCTCTTCGTACAGCTCTAGGACCTTGTAGACATGGACACAGGCACGGTGGTGGCCGTGCTCAGCACAGAGCCTCAGTGCATACTTGAGGTCGTAATGCACCCGGTGTGGGCTGGCCCCAGCCTGCTCAAGGTAGGCCAGAAGCGAGGCTGGCTGGCCACGGGCATAGAGTGATAGCAGATAGTTGTGAATGGCCTGCTCCGTCTCCCCCAGCACGTTCACGCAGAATTCCATGTAGCGAATGGCCTGGCTCACCTGCTGGGCCTCACCACCCTGGCTATAGTTCACCAGGGCAGGGATGAGCTGCCGGGCATCCAGCCGGCTACCCATCTCAATCCAGGCATCTACCAGCTGGCAGGGGATGTGACGGATGAGGATGGGTGAGAACTTGTAGAAGAGCTGGGGGTCACGGTGGCGGGCAAGCACCGCCAAGGCCTCCTCGTAGGCCTCGTGCTGGCAGTGGTATGCCACCACCCGCTCGTAGTCCTGCATGATCACAGCAAAGTACACCATGTGCTCAGTGTCCCCATGACTGGCGAGCAGCTCATGGATAGAGGCCCGGCTGGCAAAAAGCCATTCCTTGTGGCGAGGGCTACTGAGAAAGGCACGAAAACGTTCTCGTGTTTCCCGGTAGAGGGTCAGGGCCTCTGGGTCACCCTGCAGAGCCCCGAGCCGGCTCAGGTAGAGTTCTGTCAGCCAGGTGGTCAGCAGGGTGGCCTGAGTGCGCTCGGCTGGCTTCAAACTGGCCAGTTTTCGCTGCAGGAACTCAGCCAGAGCCTCCTCCTGCCGGGCCTCCAAGAACTTGAGAGCAATTTCCTCAAAGTAGCTCTGGGTCAGGGCATAGCAGCGCGCGCTCTCCAGGTAGCGACGCTGGCGAAAGCAGAAATCAGCCTCCCGGGCCAGGACTGTGTCCAGGCAGTCAGGCCGTTCTCGACAGTACTCTTTGGCCAGATCGAAACGGTTCATGTCCAGGTAGGTGCGCCAGACATCCCGGGCCTCCCGCTGCACGTGGTAACGGAAGACAGCCCGCTCAGTGTAGGCCCACAGCTGGCCTGTGGACGAGTCCTTCACCATGTGTCTCAGCGGCCCAAACTTCTCCAGGAAGTGGTCCCGTAGCACCACCTGCCCGGTCAGCGTGCACACAGCCTCCACCCTATCAGCCAGCAGCAGCAGGAAGTGGAACTGGGTCAAGACAATGGCCAAGGGTGGGCTGGCCCCAGGACCTACCCCCTCTGGGTACTCCCAGACTCGCTCCTCACTCAGTAGGGAGTCTGGACGCCCACAGTCCAATGCACCATACAACACGCCATCCCCCATCATCCAGGCAAAGGCCCGCGGGGACGAGCGCAGCTTGGGGGTATAGAAGGCCAACTCACTGTAGCCCAGGTTGCTGGGAAACTCACGGAATGGCGGTGGGTGGTCCGTGTAGGCAGCAAAGAGCCCTGAGAAGCCCTGGGTCTCAGCTGCCTCTGCTGCTCGGCCTATGAACTGGAAGAGACGCTGCCGAGTGGTGGCAATGACAAAGCCACGCCCATCAGGTCCCCGCTCGGCCTCGAGGGAGCACACAGGTGCTGGACCCCCTTCTTCATTCAGCACATACAGAGGACGGAAGTAGAGATCTGGGGCAGGGCCGAAAAGTCCCCCCTCACTGGCTGAGAGCTCTGCTTCGAAGATCTGGCCTTGGGCAGTTCCCACCAGGATGGGGCCGGTGCTGCTCTCAGTGCCCAGTGCCTTGTTCCAACCCACACTCTCCACCAGCTGCCCCTTCCAGCGTGCCAGTGGTCGGACCTTCTGTCCATTTCGGTTCACATAGAGGATCTCGGTGCTACTCAGAGCAACCAGCAGGTGAGAGCCTGTAGTGGGGAAAGCATAGCGCCTGAGTGGATGCTACCATTCCCACCCTCAGCCTCTTCCTGGCCTCCCCGGCCAGGCAGTGACTGAGCCATAGGCCACCCCCACCCAGATCTCCACCACCACTTACCAGTATGGTCCAGGAACATCTTGTGCACTTTGGCATCATCCTTGCGCCCCAGCTCCACATGGTTGGGCTCATTTGCCTTGCCCAGGTCAATGCTGTGGGGAAAAGAGTCACAGTATCACTATCCAGGCCTTTTCTGGATCATGACCTTGTTAATAATCTGATAAAAGCCATGGCCTTTCTTTCCTGAAACTTAAATATACACATACAATTCTGCATACAATCCTAAGAGAACCAAGATACATATGCAGGGTCCTGTTTAAGAACCCTCAGCAGGCCGGGTACGGTGGCTCATGCCTATAATCCCAGCACTTTGGGAGGTCGAGGTGAGAGGACTGCCTGAGTCCATGGGTTCGAGACCAGCCTGGGCAATTTGGCAAGACTTCATCTCTACAATAAATCAAAAAATTAACCGGGTGTGTAGTTTCAGCTACTTGGAAGTCTTAGGTGGAAGGATCGCCTGAGCGCAGCAGGTCTAGGCTGTGGTGGCTGTGAGCATGCCACTACCCTCCAGCCTGGGTGACAAAGTGAAACTCCAATTAAAAAAAAAAAAAAGAACCCTCAGCTCTCAGCTCTGTGAACTTCCCCACCTCATTGTGAGACATCATTAAGCATCATTAAGGGGAAGTCTTCCACTCTGCTTAAAAGATCTCCAGTGCTTCTGGAAAGACAGGCAGCAATATCCCAGATTGCTGGGATAAGAAGGGAACAAAGAAAAGCAGCTAATGGTTACTGAGCACTTTCCATCTACCAAGCACCATGCCAAAGCTTTCTCAATCCAGTATTATCTCAATTAATCTTGACAAAAACCTTGAGGGGTACTTCTGTTTATTTTTTTAAATTAAATTCAAAATAAATATTCTACCATTATTTCAGTTTGTATTTCCCAGAAGTTCAAAGTATTTTCATAGGTTTATTGGAAATTTTAAGTTTTTCTGTGAATTGCTTGTTTAAATTCTTTGCCTTCCCTTTTCTACTGAATTGTCTTTTTCTTATTAATTTGTAAGGGTTTTTTAAGGAACAGGGATGTAAACCCTTAGTCATATGTGAAACAAACATTATTTTCCCACCATCTTTTGTCTTGACTTGATTCATAGTACATTTTGTTTTGTCATTCAGCAATTATTATAGTCAAATATATATATGTGTGTGTGTGTGTGTATGTATGTGTGTGTGTGTGTGTATAGCTTCTTATTTTCTTTGATACGAGGTCTCACTATGTTGCCCAGGCTGGAGAACAGCGACTATTCACAGGTACAATAGCACACTACAGCATCGAACTCCCGGGCTCAAGTGATTCAGATGCTTCAGTCTCTTGAGGAGCTGGGGGCTACTGGCATGCACCACCACACCTGACTTAGATATATATACTTTTTTTTTTTTT